CAACAACAACACATATCAACCACAATACAATATATCCTGCAACAACAACACATATCAACCACAATACAATACATTCTGCAGCAACAACACATATCAACGATAACACGATACATCCTGCAACAACAACAACACATATCACCCACAAGTATACTACGATGCGATGACGACGACGACGAATACAAAGTCATCATGGAAGACGACAAAAACAAACCAGCTGTAACGATAGCACTGCTTTCGTTAAGTTGGGAAATGCCGTAATACATATTGCACAAAAACCAAAACGTACCTCGTCTCTGAGAGGCTTCAGGTCCTGGCATGTCTGGAGAATTCCCTAAGGACAAAGAAAATAAAGAAACACAGGAATCAGTTACTTGTGCAGAGATTTCCTGGAACCCAAGATTGGAAGCGGGGAAGAGAAAGAGCAGGAGTGATGAATCGAGGAGAAAGGGACCTCATTTTGTTCTCCGGCTGCCTGGACTCCGACCTTAATCTTCTTCACAGATGCTTATGGGCCTGACTAAAATCAGAACCATAAAATGGACTACAGATAAAGCTGGGTAAAGATTGGTTGGTAAGRGACCAACCCTGGGTAGGGTGTTAAATAGAGAGCCAATAATCTACCTGTATAACTGGTATTGGATCACCCACGGACTCTTGTTCCTGTAGTGAGTTGAAGATACCAACCGCCTCTTCGTGGAACGTACCATAACCTTTACCCTTAGCACCTGTGGGCAGTCAACAACACGATATTATATTACTAATAGACAACTGTAGTTAAAGAGGAGCTATTCTGGTAAAAGAAGCACCACCACGGTGATAATTGGTGACGATGAGTGGTGAAGGCTGGGGATAGCTTATGGTAGTAATATTATTATTTGTATGATGATTATAGTGCTTTTAAGAAATACAACCTTATCCACAATCTAGAATAATGATCAAGCCAATGGTTCGTCCATTATTACTTCTTTATCGGGAAATATATTCTGATCAATCAATATTCTGATCCGATGATGGCGATGTTTATATTTAAAATAATTGCTGTTCATCATGTCAATGATGATAATGATAATGATGATGATAATGAGGATGATGATCGCCATGATATCGACGATGGCGATGGCAATATAAAAAATAGTTGATGAAGACGATAATGATTGTTAATAATAATAATGATTATTTTGATTAGATAGATATATTTATAAAGCGATAAGCAAGTGTTAGTCAGCATATTACTGAATACTTACACTTGTAAGGTCCAATGTATATTATCTGTTCAGCAGCGCCTGTATTTATAGCCACAGTATTCATTACATTACATTAACATTAGCACTTTAAGATTAACTTCTTAGCATATAGTATTAGTTAGCAGCTGCTATACTTAGTACTACAATGGTTAGAAAAGATAAATAAGTAGCAGTAAATATACATTATTTCTACAGGCCTGTAAAAGGTGTGGCCGCCCACCAATTATCAATAAGATACCAATAATATCTAGTAATTATTATGATAATAACTTACTCCAAAAAAATATTTGTGGTGCAGCACACCAGAATAGGTTTGTCACATTACATAACGGCCACGCCACGGAACAGGCTAACGCGATGCGTTGATTCAAACACATCAATGTAGTGTGCTAAACTAAACTATCTATGACAGTATTTTGATAGTGATATAAAACCTGTTCTGTGTGGTATATGAATGATCGTTAAATAACTTACGTGAGGACTGTGAGTGACCGTAAGGTAATGCTAACAGAGGAGCTTTTAGTGGTAGTTTGGAATACTTGAGTAATGGATTGGTGCGAATAATCGTTTCCACTTCATTCTCATTGGATGCATCCTGCAAGATATCAGTACATCAAAACACACATTAATAACATCAAGGCATAGATAGTGAGATAATATGTAATAATAATATAATACATCATTTATAAAACAGCCACATGCCGTCTGTTGGATTGGACTTGAAAACTACATGCAAAGTGAACCAAAGTGAGAAAATAAGAAAGATATACATAATGACTATGAGCACAACCATTCACGTTCGCCATGGTTTCTACGTGTCTTTATAAAGTAGCCTTTTGAATAAGTAACACTGATTAAAGCTAATGAAGGTGTACATACCTTGATCAACATGACCAGTTTTTCAAATGGTGTCTCGATCAGAGGTTTGGAGTCAATAACCTGCAAGGTAACAACAAAACCTGAATAACGCCGCTCATTGAACTATAGCACCTCACCCGGGACCTCTATTGATGATATCTGGTGAACCAGGGATACAGGTCGTCCAGTATGGATGTGTTGGTATCAGTGTACTATATATGCTACTCTACTATCTATATACCTCTTGTATGGCCCTCGATGTGTTGGTATCAGTGTACTATATACACTACTCTATTATCTATATACCTCTTGTATGACACTCGATGTGTTGGTATCAGTGTACTATATACACTACTCTACTATCTATATACCTCTTGTATGGCACTCGATGTGTTGGAATCAGTGTACCATATACACTACTCTACTATCTATATACCTCTTGTATGGCACTCGATGTGTTGGTATCAGTGTACTATATATGCTACTCTACTATCTATATACCTCTTGTATGGCACTCGATGTGTTGGTATCAGTGTACCATATACACTACTCTACTATCTATATACC